TACACACACACACACACACACACACACACACACCCCTCCCTTAGCTCTTCTGAGGGCTGAGGAAAAAGAGGGGGTAAACGTTAATATCATCCATCAAAAGTAGGTACATTAGAGAGGGCTGTGGGGCTGGGACTTTCAGCACCCCCTCCGGGAATGGTTTCGTCCATTTCTCAATACGGAGCTGGCCCTTTTCACTTTTTCCCCCATTTCCTCTGCCACAGGGGGAAATATTTCACCTGTCCTTTTTCTCTCTCTTTCCCTTTCTCTCCATTCCCCCCAATCTGCTGAGCAGCAGAAAAAAAGCACATATCTCTCTCTCAGCACCTGTCCAGCTCTAACCCCCCTCCTCTCCAGGCCCAGGAATCATCCGTCGCTCTACGATAAAAAGCAGTACATCTGCCCCGTCCCCTCCCGTCCCCCCTTAATGCCATCATTTACCGTTCCAGTCCCATGGTAGATATGAGGGAAAGCAAGGTAGAACATATCAGTTTCACCCCCAACCTCACAGCCCGCTTCCCATAAAAAACATAATTCGTACAGGGGACTAGGTGAGATAAGCTACCGTGTGTGCCAGCAGTGATCCTCAGTCAACACAAGCTGGTACAGAGACAGCCATGCAGACAGCAGCCATGCACATATGTTTAAGTTACTGCAGGTATACAGCACTTCCTGTATGTGAGTGGGTGGCTGACAGACTTCTGCTGCGACCCGCCTGCCATGTGGCTAACGAGCTCAGATTAACGACCTGGACTGAATCCCTGCGATACTCGGAGCAAGATGCTGCGTCTGGCATGACACAGGAGACAGATCCACTGACAGACTTAGTTCACAGCTGCTCCAGCACCTCAGGACACCTCGTGGAGAAATGAGCCGGAGTATAGCGGGGACGACCTAAATGCTTAGTGACTTCTAAGCAGTCGTAGTTTAGCAGAGTTTAGGGGCCAGAGCAGCTGCTACAGTTTGGGTATCATATACTATACAATACCAAAAAAGAACGATACATTGACTAATCCATCAATCGATTGAAAGAAAAATAATTCAACTTTGAGAGATTTTTATCCTCTCAAATATGAAAAATGTACTACTTTTCTCAGATTATAATCATGTTAAACTGGGAGTATCTGGGATTAAGACTGAATTAACAAGATATTTAAAGATATCAACCAGGACTTTGAGAAACTTCAGATGGACAATTTTCTGGACCAAAACATTTATCATAGAATCTAGAAAATAACCAGAGGATTAATCAATTATTAGAATAATTGTTAGTTCCAGCCCTTATACAGAAAAAAAAATGGCAACACTGATCTTCACCTCAGTTCAATGACAAATGGACTGCAGTCAGAGTTTCAGCCAAAGTGCCTAAGTTGTACCTGAAGGTAAGAAAAATGAAGTTGGAAAGCAGATAAAGAGATACAAAGATGAGCCAAGGAGATATATTCTGATTTCATGAAAGATGTTGTGCATGGTTTCACTTTCTAGGCTTTTTTTCACAATGTATCTTCTGTTCATGAATATTTCAAGTTTTGCCGCTACCTCCCTCTATTATTTTTCTCTCTTTGTTCAATCTCTTCAATCCCCTTTCTCCCCCGTTGGCTAAAACTGCAGGAATGCTGGTCACATGTAATGTAAGAAGGTACGTGAGTGTGTGCACAAATGCACGATTAGCGGCAGCTCTGAATGAACAGTCTGGGTTTGGTATGCACAGAAGCCTCTTATTGTGTGCCCTGCCTGAGCACAAGTGGTAAAAAGGGAGTGTGTCTTTTGTGTGTGTGTGTGTGTGTGTGTGTGTGTGTGTGTGTGTGTGTGTGTGTGTGTGTGTGTGTGTGTGTGTGTGTGTGTGTGTGTGTGTGAGAATGCGCTAAAAATACCTAGGGAAGACAGAGAGCGGGAACCTCTGAAAACTGCTTACAGGCTTTAGGTTTGGGAATGACATTTGGAGAAAGATGCATTATCTTAAAAGGAGGAAAACATAAAAAAAAGACAAATGATTGCAATCAGCTACTCATGGATGAAGCCATTAAAGGCCCCCTATTATACTGTTTTTCATTATAAGTCTCAAATATATACAAAACATGTCTCTGAAGTGTTTGGCTCTAAATACTAAACCCATAAACCCCTCTGTTTCAGCCCTGTTTCAAAAGTGCTGACTCTCTGTCTGTTACTTTAGATCAGTGGTCACTGACCAGTCGATCGCGAGTGTGGTGCGGGTAGATCGTGCACCGTTAAAAAAAAAAGTTACAAAAGAAAGAACATTTAAAAAAAGTTTTTAGATGTAAACCTATCATCCACCACTCCGTTAGCAGGGGCCACTTGATTGACGTATCTTTGAGACATTCCTTGTCGCTCCCGAAAATTATAGACTGACTTCAAGTGATGCTGCATATTTTTAAACTCACTGCACTTATTGTAGAATGAACATATTTTACCGTGATTGTATTGTAATACACGTTTCAAAATGATGCCGGAATAACTACATGCTGATACCGGTTAGTAAAAACCATGAATTAATGCTTTGACAAGTGTGCAGACAAGACGGCAGGCGAAAAACCTTTAAAATGCGTTTTTTCTGAATGGAGATCGGATCGATCAGGCTAAACTAACGTTGTAGCTGCTCCGTCCAAACTCATAACAACATGAAACAGACACAGATACAACAGCAACTGTATTCGCCATGACACAGACAGTCTTTGTTTTGTACATGTTTAACTTGAGTCCAGTTTCTGAATATATGAGAAGCTGTTAACTCTGAGTGCTAACAGCTAACGGCTGATGTTTTGGTTTTCTGATTCAACGTCAGTGATGGCAGGCTGAGATCCTCACTGCTGATTGGCTACCGCGCGAACGCGTCATTCGCATCAACCGCATCTGTCCGCGTCTTTGCATTGACTTTACATGTAATCGCGCAGAATTTGTAAGAATTGTGTTAAAAATAACTAGTTTTAATGTTAAATATTGCTTCAGTGGATAAGCCTCACAGTTAAAATGGCATTTATGTTATCTGCTCACTGCAAGATGTTTTTTTTTTCTTTGTTGTTGTTGAAACTTAAAATGATAGGTATGATTGTAAATATATATATTTATCCTTTTTGACATGTTAGTTGTGCTGTGTTCTTGGATTAATCAAATTGGAAGTTTCACATATTGATTTGATGTAATTCAGATGCAATTAGCCTACATGAAAGGCCTCAAATTGGAAGTACTGTCTGAACTGTCTTTTTCACTCAATTCTGCAATAAGTAGATCTTGCCTTTCACCAAGCCCGAGGTCGGGGATCTTGGGCTTAAAAAGGTTGGTGACCACTGCTTTAGATGAAAATAAGGAGCCCCTCTGCGAAATATGGCACAATGGTGCTCTAGGAGGAGATTCGGGTGATAAGGTGGGGAGGGGGGGGGTTTCC